TAACCGAATTTTTTAAATTTGTTTAGTATAATATTTTAGAAAATATATTAATTAATATTTAAATAATTCAATACAAATAATAATTAAATAAATTAAATATAGTTATTTCATCTAATAAAAATGTTTTATCCTCATATTTATAATAATATCATTAAAATTAATTTTTATATTTTAGTAGCGTGAGTTTTACACTCCTTATCTATCACCATTTTATTAATAAAAAATATATAAAATAATCTTGTGCTCAACTCCCCGGTAAACCTACTTGATCAATAGTCATTATAAGTATTGATATTACTTAATAATTTAAATTAAAATAATTGAATTAAATATTAAATTGAATATTCAAAATCCACCTTTTAATATGATTGGATCACAAAATCTATATTGGATGAATCGGATTCAAATATATATAATTTAAATTAAAGTAAAGTAAATTGGATTGAATATTAAATTAAATATTCAAAATCCATCTTTTAATATAGTTGGACCACAACAAAATCTATCTCAGAATGAATAGAATTAAAATACATGCGTGTATATATATACATATATATATATATATATATATATATATATATATATATGTATATATATATATGTATATGATAACATGATCAATTATTGTCTTAGACTCCTTATCTCTCACAATTTTAATAATAATGCTCGACTCCCAATTAACCTATATTACTTAATAATTTAAATGAAATTAAATTAAAGTAAATTAGATTGAATATTAAATTTAATATTCAAAATATAACATTTAATATAATTGGAGCACAACAAAATCTGATGAGTCGAATTCAGATACATGCATATAACACACGGTTCAGGTCCACTACCCATCATACTACTCCACAGCGCTAAGACAAAGCCACTTGTTGCCCAGGCATCATGATGCATCACATTATAATAAAATAAATTTAATAATTTTATTGTTTTTGTGATTGAAGATAAAATCATGGTTGGTGATATATTAAAATATTAAATTATAGAAAAAAAATGCTATTTAGTTTTAACTTTTTTTTAATTTATTTTGTCATTATAATCTAATTAAAAATCTAATATAAATAACAAATATTAATATTAATCAATTTTTTAAAAATCTAATTAACAAATATATATAATCTTAAATTATATTAAAATGAATCAAATTATAATTATAACATAAAAAATAAATTATGAAAATTAAATTGATGAAAAAATTCCTCCAATGTCATAAATGTGATGAATTTTTTTCTCATTGATTTTATAAAATTAAATTAGATATCTTATTATTTTTAAGATAAAATAGTTATAATCCTTAAAAAAATTATAAATTCTCAATTTTTTTTATTAAAACTAAATTCTTAAATAGAAAGAAATAATATTAAATTTTCTAGCGATAATATATTGAATTTAAAAGTAAACTACAAAGGTAAATTGTACTAAATTTTTACTTATTTTTATAAATAATAAAGATATTAAATAATTTTATATGGACGATAAAGTATAAAACCCAGGTGTTTTTTTTGATCGGCAACAAAGAATAAAATTAATAGAAGTACAAAGGGGTACTTCAACCCAAATACAACTAAAAGAAGCTAGATGAACGAAATAAAACAAACCCTGCTGGGTCACTAGAACGAAAGCTCAAAGATACAGGTTCAGTTACCCCAGCGGTGCCTAAGAGAACTAGCTTCGGGTATAATGATGACACAAAGAAAGTTTACAACAAGAGAAAAAAACCTTGTAGCACTCGGATACTCCCTCTCACCGTCTTCTTATATGAGTCATCATCATTGTGACATGATTACACACTTTAGCCTGAAAAGACATATACCAGCCAGCACAGAAAAAAGAGAAACTAAATGGCAATTAGTCTCATACATCTTACCGGTTCATAAAACCAATCGAAACTTGCTAGGCTCGCTCCATCCCAGTCTCTAGCGCACCAAGCAGTGAAGTTTGCACTCGCTTTACTAAATCCTACTTCCGCATCAAATTTACCATTTTTAAAAATACATTTATTCCTTTGAGATCAAATTTCATATACCACTGCTACCCATAGTCTTTTCCACAACATGTTTCCCTTCGCTCCCAATCCACCTAATGCAAAGCTTTCCAGGCTTGCTTTCGCCTCACAATGGCTAACAAAGCTTATACCCACCCATCTAAAGCACTTTTCCCATATCTCCCTGGTCATCTTGCACGTGAAAAAGAGATGATTGGATGTTTCGTCCTCGCTCCCACACAATGCGCATTTTGGGTTACCTATATCAACCCTTCTCCTAGCTAAATTTACCTTAGTAGGTATCCTATCTTGAAGAATTCTCCACCCTAAAACCATGGCCTTTGGTATCGCTTTAATTTTCCAGTACCATTTGAAAATCAATTCTTTCTCATTGCAATTTTCTTCGTTTAGAATCTCATATGCTTCTTTTACAATATACCTTTCATTTTTATTCGGTCCCCACAACCACGTATCATCTGTAACCCTATTAAGTGTTACGCCCTGAATCTTACTTAGCATTTCCTCCTCCATTTCCTTCTCCCATTCGAAACGTTGTCTTCTCCAGACTTACTCTCCATTCCCATTTGTTTTCCATCCACACACCATGTTCGATAGCACCCGTTTTTGTTCGAGTCCTATTTGTTTTAACCTTGGATACAAGCGGCCTAAACTCGTTCCCCAATCCACACATCGTCCCAAAACCTGATTTTCTCCCCATTTCCTATTTTCCATGTTACATGTTTATCAAACCAAGCTCTACCAACATTATCTTTACATATTCTTTTTATATCTAGCCACCATTTTGAATCCTTATTAATGTTTTTCGGTTCGTCTAAGGCTCTCCAGGACCCGTATTTGGCTTCTATTACTTCCTTCCATAATCCTTTTGACTCGACACCTAACCTCCATTTCCATTTTGCTAGCAGGGACCTGTTCATCTTCTGAATGTTCTTCACCCCCAACCCACCCTCTTCCTTTCTTCTACATATTTTTTGTCATTTTACCCACGCTATCTTTTTCCCTTCCTTGCCCCAGCCCCACACAAACTCTCTTTGAAGTTTTGTTATCTCTTTTATCACTCTAACAGGCATTTTGAACACGGATACATAAAACAGTGGAACCGCCGAAAGAACCGATTTTACCAAACATACCCTCCCAGCAAAGGAGAGTGATATATAAAACCCAGGAGTTATATATAGACAGTGATATATATCTTTGTACGAGATAGAATATTATTCAATGCAGTACTCCAACAAAATCAATAATATTATATATGAATTAGAATGTATTAATAAAGGTTTACATTTACATATATAAGGATTAAATTATAGGTTTAACTCAAAACAAAAATACATCAATTCAAAGATTTTTATAATGTTTAGAGAAAAAAAAGTTGATAGTTGTAAAAGTACTAGAAAAATTATGTAATAAGTAATGAAAATGTTAAACTAAAATACTAACTTTAGTAGTAAAAAAGATATAAGAAATGCACAGATAAAAAGAGAAAGACACGCAACAAGCAATGAAGAAAAAAGAAGAAAGAAAAGTTAATATTTAATATCCAATGCTTCTACCTGTATTTAAACATTTGATTATATATATATATATATATATAAAAGTTAATTCATTTTTAAGTTGTCATTTAAAAATATGAAATATATAGTTTATAAGGAAATATTTAATAAGTTAATTCTTATTCAATTAGTTCGAAGTAATAAAAGTTTAAATTATCAATTCATTTAATCCTTTAAAATATAATTATTTTATTAAGATAAATTTTGATATATGATAAATAAAAATAATAAGATAAAAAAATATGATATAATAAAACCTAATAATTATAAATTATAAATAAAATAATATTAGTTACTACTAAGATTTATGTAAAATATTTAAAAAAAGATAAAGAATAAAAAAATTAACTTTGTGTTCATCAAATTAGTTGAAAAGATTGAAAAAATAAAATTGATGGGAGAGATTAATGAAATGTGAAAAACTGAAAGATAAGAGAAAGAATAATGTAATAAATTAATTGATATAAAAGATTAAAAAAGACAAAAAAATTTAAAAGTGGGTAGAAGAAAAAAAATTGGTGAAATATAAAAAAATGACCTTATATGTAATAAAAAAAGAAAATACTTTTAAAATATTAATATTTTAAAATTTAAATTTAAATATAAAATCGGGACGGGGACGAGGTCGGGGTGGAGATTGCATTATCCATCCCCGCCTCCGTCCCGCCCCTAACTTTTTAAAGCGAGGAAAATCCGAGCCCGCCCCACCCCGATCAACTCGGGTTTTTCCCATCAAATTCGGGATGGGGTACGGGTCGGATACGAGTTTAATTTACATCCCTACTTGTACGTTTAATGAGATAATTTTCTTATAAAATCTATATAAGTTAGATATTTTTTTGAAAACAAATAACATGTGAAGAGAAGAATTTCTTTAGGAGATTGAGGGTCATAAATTAATAATTTAAACTTGATAATATTAAAAAAATAGTAGTGATATATAGAAAATTAAAGTTAAAAAGTAATTAAAGTAAAAAAAATAATCATTAGGATAACTTATTTTATCAGTATAATTATAATAAAAATATTTATATTCACTCATTTTTTTAATTTAAAAGTTCTTTATTAGTTAAAGTATTATTTTATTTCTTGGAAGTGACGGGTTAGTGGCCCTAACCCAGCACATTTATCCGTCCCTGCTGGCATGTGATTTGAAAAGTTTGGGTATCAATTTGGACAACACAGAATACTGACGAGGCTTTGCATGCAGAGAATGAGTTTCAATGTGGGGTTCCTCTTGTGCATGCAAAGGAAACAGCTATACTAATTTCGCCAACACACACTAATTTGTTTTCTTTTTCAAGATCAGTCCCTTCCATTCTTTTTCACTCCACTATTTAAACACCATCAACATTATAAGGATGCTACACAATTTTCATTCCACCACATTACCTCCTTCCCTTTGACCACATTCAACATTTTCTTCTCATAGAATGGATTCTTCCTCAAACCATGCTGAACAACCACAGCAACATGACACAGATCCTAACGTGCAACAGAACGTAATGGATCCAAAATTAAGGAGGTAGATTATTTCATCTGAATTTCTAGTTATAGTTCCATTGAGAGTTTATTTAGCAGATATGTCATTTTATTACCGTCCTTAATTTCTTTGCAGAATCTTCTCAAATCGGCTTTCTGCTAAAAGATCAAGGCAGAAGAAGGTGAAATTTGTTGAAAATTTGGAAGATCAGTCCAAAACTTTGCAGGTAATTACTGTCATTAATTTTTTTAAAATAAATGTAATAGACAATGTTATACCAAGATTTAGATTTGAAGTGAGTTGAAGAGCATTATATGATCTATGTGTTCAATTTGACTTAATTAGACGAGTCTTGCCAAAATGGTAAGATCCTTGTCTTATGAAAAGATAATCACAAAATCAAATTCTGGTAGTAACCTCCATACCTATGTAACTATGTCCAGATCTATATATATTTTCAGTGTAAGTACACATCTGATCAAGCTTTAAACATTTCTATGCTATTATCACATTCATATAAGTATGTGTATACATATGCAGGAACAAGTAGCCCAACTTCAACCACAACAAGCTTCCCACCAAAACCAAATGCAGTGTCTTGTGGCGGAAGAACAGACATTGCTCCACGAAATGGAATATCTTCAGAATAAGGCATTGATCAGAGATGGTAAAGTTGTTTCAGTTTTGGAATGTGGTTGTGTTTCTATGTTTCTGCATACCCAAAAATAGATCTGTTTCATTAGCCCAATTGGGAAAACATTAGCAGAGATAGTTTCTCTCAATTTGATTACATTGTTTTTTAGCTGAAGATGAGAAGTTGAAGGAAAAAATTAGTAGATCAAAGGAAGTTCGAAATATCAAGCAAGATGAATTCATTAACGTGGATATTGATCTGCTGGATGTAGAGTCCAATGACTCATCTTCATATCCAGGTACCAATGTGTGTTAATTTTAGTGTATTTGATACCACTAACGTAAGTTTGATTATACACTTTTTTTCTTTCTTTCACAATCATTACTTTTTTCTCATCTGAGATCTCCTTATAATTTCATTTTTTTTGAGATTAAAGTTGGAGGAAATGGAGGACCGTCTTCGTAGATAGCTGCAGAGGCAACGCAGATGGAGAAAGCTGCTATGGCGGGTACGCATGAAATGATGGATCAGACGAAACTCGCAAGCCATCTGTGCCAATCCCTTCTTAGCCATTACATCAAACCCAGTGCTGTTTTCATTGTGATGTTGTATAAGACTTTGTGTTTAATGTTCTTGTTTCTTTCAACATATTTTCCATTCTCAATGAATTCTTGCTTTGAATGATAATTCCTCCTGTTTATTTTTTAACTGCTTTTAAGGTTTTTTTTTTTTTTTTAAACAAAAAATGAAATAATTTTTTTTCCACTTATATAAAATATTTAAAGATTTTTATTTTATCCTTCCTACTTTTACATCACAGTAAATGTTGCCGATGAAGGATATTAATAAGGCATAAGTTGTTTAAAATTCTTATCTTTTCTTTCTAAATATATCCATGTTTTTTATATTGTCATTTATATTCCTTTCTAGGGTTGGCGTCATGTTTCTGTGAAGTTTTATTACACTAATAATTCTGCAAACTTCAGAAACCGAAATTATGATTGCCAGTAATAATTAACAAACCCCCTAAACTTAATCTTTGACTACTTGCGAACTGAACCTTAACATTAATAAAGCCAAAATTTTCAAGTGAGATGCCATGCCATAAAGATTTCTGTTTCATTCTCTGTAGGCATCTCCAGAAATCTTCAATACAGATCTACGATGCAATATCGTTTTTAAACCACTTATAATTGGTTTTATTTTATTATTTTTTTTAATATTTATTTTTACTTTTTATTTATTCTCTTTTATTTTATTTATTTTTATACATTGTTTAATGAAAGAATTATAAAAAAATTAAGTAATTTTTCATTATGTTACATAAGATTCTTTAAATAAAAATTATTTCAAATAATTAACACTTTGTTTAATCTTATTAATAAGTAACTCTTATAGAAGATGTTGTTATAAATAAGAAAGCTATGATTTTGTTTTTAAGTTTTGGATATTTTAATTATATTTTGGTTGAGTCATAGGGATTCTAGTTTTCTAATGTTTAGATTTTTAAAGATTTATCATTCATTAAAGAAATTTATCCTTTTAAAATTTCTTAAAAAATGTCCAAATATTTTAAACTCATAATCTTCCATTTGCCCATAAATTTTAAAACATATTTTTATCACATTTAAAGCTAAAGTAGTTAATGTCTCAATACAAGACAATGGATTCCAAATTTTGCATGGAATTTTAATTCTCTTGTTGGAATAGAAATCAAAATAGCCTTCCTCCTTCACACTAAATAAAACTGTTGAGTAACAACAGGATCCACAAACCTAAACTTTTAGATTAAAAATAAAGTTATATTTTTTTATACGGTTGATTTTGAAAAATTAAAATTATATAAAAGAGTGTTTTATTGTTATTATTTTTGCTTCAAATAACTATTCTTTTATCTTTATTACTAAATTATTTACATATATGCTATAAACAATATATTTGAGCAAATCGTACGCGAGTTTAAGTTGAACTTCACTTTTATTGTTATCCATGTTAGAATATTCTATCACTACTTATTAATTGCTTTTACATCACCATTATCAAATTTATATATAAAATTTACTTAAACTATATTTGGGACTCCTTTACATCTAAAATGTATAAGATTAAATCTTATCTTATTGTAACTGATTATTTTTATATCAATAAAATATAAAATTTATGTATTTTTATTTATAATAACATATTTATTATTTATAAAGGAAGGTGATTAGAAAATAAAAAGAAAAATATTTACCATATATACTCTCCCTCTTCTTACAAACCAAATGGCAGTTTTCATATTCTTCCTCTTTCCATTATTATATAATGTATAATTGCTATCTTTATTTGTATAATAATAATAATAATAATAATAATAATAATAATAATAATAATTATTATTATTATTATTATTATTATTATTATTATTGTTATTATTATTATTAGTACTGTTATGTTTATATCGTGAGAGATTTCAGATTTTAATTAATTGAGAATTAGACCAATATTTATTTCAATTTATCTTTGAATTATTTTTGAAAACGATGACAGAAAAGGAAAGTAAATTAATAAAACGAGTTAAAGTAAATAGAAATTCTTAAACAATTTTTTAATATTTAAAAAGATAAGGATAAAGAGAATCAAAGAGAAATCCTTTCTGACATCTCATTTGAAAATTTTGATTTTACTAGTGATATATTAGTATGCAATAATAAACAAAATTCAAGAGCATCTTGGGTGAAATTTACTTAAAAAAAATATTTATAAATAAAAAAATATTAATTATCAGTTGTTTAAAATTTGAAAAAATTAATTAAAATTTAAAGAAAAGTTATTTAATATAAAAATATTTGTTCAATTTAAATTGTGTATGGGATTTATAATAAAATAATATATTTTCTTTTAGAAATTTTCGTTCTAAGTAACTCATTTGACCCATGTGAATTTGGGTGTGTGGGGATACATAATTAATTAGCAATGTGGCAATCATAGATGGGTTTATGCAGAATTATGAGGGGCAAAAACACAGAAACAGCCTCCTAACCCCACACATCAAACTCATTCCTTCTTGTATAAAATACAAATTCCCGTCTAATATTGAAAAGTACGAAATACTTAATTCAATTTTATAAAATTATTTTGAGAAACACGATGTTCTTTTGTTTTTTTTTACATCTGAAACCCTAACCCCACAAATGAGGGTTAAATGCAGGAAAATATGTGGATGACACGTGGGTACGACAATAAAAGATGGATTTTTACTGTAAGAAAATAATAATCTATAAAACACATGACAAGGAATATAAATGATGAATTAAGAAACATGCGTGTACTTGGAAAGAAAAGATAAGAATATTAAACAACTTATGCCACATTAATTTCATCAGCAACGCATGTATATATGTATTTTCATTTCAGAGTCCTTCAATTTTGTAAACTTCACTAGCATTTACGGTAATTTATTAATTTATTTTACTAAACATAAAATTTAAACCAACTGAAACTTTTTATAGAGCGAATCAGATGACATATATATACTTTTTATATTTCTTTTTGACGATAATATTCATGAAAGATTTTGTTTTAATTAATCTGTTTTTATCAATATATAATAATAGTTTTTATCTCTATTTATATATCTTATTTAATTTTTAATTAATTTACATACATGTATTTATTGTAAATTATTGTGATATAAAAGTAAAATAGGTAAAATAGATAAACTAAAAAACTTATAAATATTTATTAAAGTAGAAAAAAATTATTATATTTTAATTTTGCAGAAAAAAAACACTTACAAAGAAACATGAGGAATTATCATTCAAAGCAAGGATTCATTAAGAATGGTAACTGTATGTTGAGTGAAACAGGAACATTAAATACAAAGTCTTATTCAATATCTCAGCGACAAAAGCAACGAGTTTGATGTAAATGGCTAAGTAGGGATAGGGATTGGGAGCAGATGGTTTGCAAGTTTCGTCTGATCCATCACTTTCATGCATACCCGCCACAACAGCTATCTCCATCTGCGTTGCCTCTTTGGCTATCTGTGAAGATTGTCCTTCATTTTCTCTAACTTTAAACTAAAAAAAATAAAATAATTGTGAAAGAAAGCAAGAAAAAAAGTGTATAATCATACTTACGTTAGTGGTACCAAGTACACCAAAATTAACACACATTGTTACCTGGAAATGAACATGTATTAGTGGACTCTACATCCGCCAGATCAATATCCAAGTTACCGAATTCTTCTTGCTTAATATTTCGAACCACTCATTTTTATCTTGAACTTCTCATCTTCAGCTTTAAAATTAATACATCAAAATTTGAGAAACTATTTCTACTAATGTTTTCCAATTGGGCTAATGAAACAGCTTTATTTTTGGGTATGCAGAAGCATACAAACACAATCACATCCAAAAATTGAAGCATCTTTACCATCTCTGAGGAAAGCCTTATTCTGAAGATATTCCATTTCGAGGAGGAATGTCCGTTCTTCCGCCATAAGACACTGCATCTGGATTTGGTGGGAAGTTTGTTGTGGTTGAAGTTGGGCTACTTGATTCTGCATATGTATACACATACTTATATGAAGGTGATAATAGCATAGAAATGTTTAAAACTTGATCAGCTGTGTACTTACACTGAAAATATATATAGATCTGGACATAGTTACATAGGTATAGAGGTTACTACCAGAATTTGATTTTGTGATGATCAAATAGGACCTTACCATTGTGGTAAGACTCGTCTTATCTAGTAAAATTGAGCATAAAGATCATATAATGCTCTTCAACTCACTTCAAAAATAAATCTGGGTATAACATTGTCTATTACATTCAATTTTTAAAAAATAATCACAATAATTACCTGCAAAATCTTCCTAGTTTTTATCAAACTTCACCTTCTTCTGCCTTGTTCTTTGAGAAGAAAGTCTATTTGAGGAGATTCTACAAAGAAATTAGAAAGAAAACAAAATGACATGTCTGCTAAGTAAAATCCAAATGGAATATAACTAGAAATTTAGGTAAAATAATCTATCTCCTTAATTTTGGATCCATTATTTTCTGTTGATACTTGATAGGAAAAAACATCATAAAAAATATCATCAAGAATTACTCTATTAATAAAAAAATAAAAGAAAAATAATTAACACAAAAATATAACGTGAAAATTTTAAAATTAGAAAAAAAAAACATGACTGTTATTTAATGATAGTTAAAAAATAATATTAGATAAAATTTTTAGAACATATAAACTAATCTCCTGTGTTCTTTAACCTTAAATGCACTCACACTCTTTAAAACAAAAAGTTTTAACCAAATATTATAACTTTCCAAAATAAGAATTTAAATCAAACCCTATAATATTTCACTGTCAGAATAAGAAAATTTAAATATAATTAGAATGTAAAAATATTATGGACTTTAAATTCATTATATAATGATTATCATCTACTTTATTATTTATTTAATGTGATATAAGATTTTTTAAAATGTTTTATTTTCATCAACCTCATGATTCATGTCATGATATCCATTCTATGAGAAGAAAATGTTGAATGTGGTCAAAGGGAAGGAGGTAATGTGGTGGAATGAAAATTGTGTAGCATCCTTATAATGTTGATGGTGTTTAAATAGTGGAGTGAAAAAGAATGGAAGGGACTGATCTTGAAAAAGAAAACAAATTAGTGTGTGTTGGCGAAATTAGTATAGCTGTTTCCTTTGCATGCACAAGAGGAACCCCACATTGAAACTCATTCTCTGCATGCAAAGCCTCGTCAGTATTCTGTGTTGTCCAAATTGATACCCAAACTTTTCAAGCAGATGATAAATGTGTTCGCTTAGGGGCCTCTCACCCCCAATATTTTAATAATAGCAAACTTAACTTATGCCTCTCAATCTCCTAAGCAAATTCTTCTCTTCACATGCTACCTGTTTGTGTCCAAGAAAAATTCTAATGTTTATAGTTCTATAAGAAAATTATTTTAAGAAACGTATAATTTATTGGATATTAAATATTAAAATATATATTAAAAAAGAGTACAGGCGTAAAGTTCTACATGTATCTACTAATTTACCATTAAGTCTTTCTAAAAAAACTCATCTATAGTCCTTTTAAATTTTTTAATAATTAAAATTGATTCTTTCTGTCGCTTTTTCTTTTAAAACATTTCAAATCTTATCTTTATTTTTTTAAAATCTTTATTAAATGAATGTAGTTCTAAAACACTTGCTAATCAAAAGTTATCAATGAAAATGTCATTTTCAATCATATATTTTTCTTAATGTACAACAGGCGACCTCACATATTATAAAAACCTTCTTTAAAAAATGTAATACAACGTTTGAAATTCCATCAACTTTCGAGGTTGAAATAAATCATAGATATTTAATTAATTGAGGAAAAAAAAGAATTTTAGGTTTCATAAAAAATAAAAGTAACGAGAGGACTTGATTATATTAATAAAACCTGGAGAATATAAGTGGACAAAAAAATTGTCACTCTAAATCACTAATTAATCATTATAAAAAAATATGATTGAACCCAAAGTTGAGTAAAAATTAAAACAAAAATAATCTTTTGATAAACAATAAACATCGATACGTGTTGGAATAAATGATTTTAAGATCAGATCGATAATCGATAATAGATAAAGACATAAATTTAAAATTTTAAAAGATAAACGAAGTAAATTAAACATGTTTATTTTAAAATGGAACTTTTTTTAAAATTCAAATAAAACATTTAATAACGATTGCTTATATTTTAATAAAATATTATATTTTTTATAATATTATTATAACATATTGTATTTTTGTATTTTCTAGATAAAATATTAGAGTACTATTTCTTCTGACAAAGTTTCTTTTATAATGCTATTACTATTATTTAAAATTTAAATAGTTATAATTTGGAATGAATTAAATTATTAATATTTATTTTATATAAATATTGAGTTTAATATTTATTTACTAACATGGTCAAACATACAAAAAATATGTATATATAATTGGCAATTTAAATTTTGTTAATAAATATTTTATCTTATTATTATTTTTTTCATATTCATCAATTTTTCTTGTATTGTATTGCGAGGATTCAATATATTTGTTGTTTCTAGTGCTTGGGTCAAGTCCACTCGAACTTTTTAAATCTTATAAAAACTAATTTGACGCTAAAGATTTTATATAATTCATTTGTAGAGTTATAATATTCATTAGGATATAATATTTTTCTTCTTTTATTTTTTAGAATTATTTTGTTCAACAATCGTTGACTACTAATCATGCTATCTCTAATCTTTTCATGAATCTTGAAAAACAACATTGAAGATAGATTTTAGAAGCAAAAAAGAAACACCAAGAAAAAAGTAACATCGTTGTCGCTTCTTCTGTCAACAAACAACAAATGGATTGGTAGCCAAGGGCAAGAAACAATGGAAAGGAGGTAATATTATTGTAATTAGTATAACCTTTTTTATAATTTTCATATAATATTAATTATTCTATGAAATTTTTAATTATTACCGTTGAAAAATAATTAATTTTATATCAGCTAGACCTATAATTAAAATGGTTAGATTCACTAAGTTTTCTTTCAGATAAATTGTGGATGATGATTTATATATAAAAATTAAAAGATAACACTTAAATTTATATATATTAATACGCATCACTTAACAATTTATATATAATAAAATTGACCACTTCTCTTAATAATAATAATAATAATAATAATAATAATAATAATAATTAAATTTAATAAGTTAATTAATAATAAATAAAAACTAAATAAAATATTTTAATTTAATTAAATAATTATTTATCATAATTATAACATAAGTTTTTTTTTTATATTATAATTAGTTTTGTTTATAATAATTATTTTAATTAATCACAATTATTTTTAGTTAACTAATTTAATAATTAATAATCCATTAATTATGATTGTAGTTCAGTTTTTTATAACTCCTGTTAATCCCAGTAATTTTATATTTGGAGTCACATAAATTTATGTGTCATCCACTTGAATTATCTTAAAATTTTAAAGATTTGATATATAAAGAGACACAGCCATTAAAATTTTAGTCACTAAAACCATGCATAACACTAGATAAAGTATTCCAAATCTGCTTATTGAAAAAAAAAATAAAAAAAAAAATTCAAAATTATTCACTACAGCTAGTATCTGTTGCAGACTTCCACACATTTGATCAGACTTCCAGACATTGAATAGACCTAAAATGGCGATAAAATTACAAGAGATAAAAGTCTGATATAAGATAATTGATGTGATAAAGAGAGATAAACAAAAACAATATTATATAATAAGTAATACAATTTGAGATCATATATTTAAATATGAATTATGTACCATTTATATAGGATTATTTAGATAAGTTTTTTATAAATATTTTAAAAAATTACAAGATGAAATTATTTTATTTAGATAAGAGAACTTTCATAAAATAACTTATAAATAAGTTTTAATTTATGAAAAAATATATTTCATTTTTTTTCTTGGAGAAATTTCAAACAAAGCTAATTTTCTATTGGTAAAGTTCAACAACATCAATAGAAACTTAATTAAACTCAGTTTCTTGGATCATGTGCTAACACAATAGAATCTGGTTTTGACTGTATAATATGATATGTTCTAACCTTGATAGGAATATCTGTAAACAAGCATTTTGATCCAACTAGAGGTTGAGATCGAGTTTTGTATTAATTGCATGCAAATCACCATCCGAATTTGCATCTTGTGTATCTTTCAATTGATTTATTCGAAGCTCTCTCAGTCTATTCCCTTCTGCTATGTTCTTTTCGATTTCAACTGATATGAAGAACATGATTTAAGATATAGTGATACAAACGACTTAAGACACAGAAACAAAACACACACAAAGGAGGAAGGAGGGTAATAACCTTCTTTCATTATTCTGTCCTTTTCAAAAGCTGCCATTTGTAATTTCACTTGATGCTGCTCAATCTGCAACAATTGCTGAACATTCTTAGTCTGTTGAATTTGATAACGAGTGTTGGAGATTTGAAGCTGCACGAAGAAACCACTGAATATATTAGGTTACATTAGAAATAATTGTATACATTTATAGAGAAACACAGTTCATGCCATGTTTTGTAGTTGCATGCATACCCGGAGAGTTCTTAATTGATTTTCCAAATGGTCCATGTAGAGCATCTTTTTCTTTCTATACTTCTCTGAAGAAACTCGATTTGACATCATCCTACATACCAGAAAAAAGTTAAAGGATTTCAACCAAATATCCAGTTTAAATATGTCTTAAATTCTTATAAATATAATGATTTACAATGTGACCTTAGTTAAATTTTTCAAAAGATTATTGTATTAATTATAAGTGCTAATTGGACAATCAATGTTCAGTATTTTTTATAAGTAAAAAAGTTATCAGCAAAAAAAATTTAACCCTTGAGTTTTTTAGTTGATAAAATTAATCATTTCTATCACTTTTTCATTTAAAACTTTTAAATATTCCTGAAAATATTTATGAAATGAATGTTGAAATATTTTAAATTCATTCTAATAAAAAAATTTCGATCAAAATGCCATATTTTGCAAACCTTTTTTTTTTCATTTTAGAAACCATAACCTCACGTTATAAAACCCTTTAAATTCCATCAAACTTTGGTGGTTGAAATCAAATAGTAAATATAAATATTTTATATTTACGCAAAAAGGTAAGAATTTAGGAGTTTCATGAAAAAAAAGGTGAGAAAAGGATTTGATTATCTAAATAAAAGATGGAGAGTCTAAAGTCGAGAAACAAATTCTTAACACACTAAGTCACAGATTAATCATAATAAAAAATGTAACTGAACCAAGAGTTGAGTAAAAATGAAAACAAAAATCTTGTCTTCAAACAATTTAACCCTAAATAATTGCATAATATGATACCGCTTTAGCCTTCTTAAATCCTCCTTTTGTTTGGGCACCCTGAGATCCAAGCGAGGTTTACTTGTTTGTCTGGTGTTGAAATTGATTCTGGCATCAGGAGTTGTAGAACCACCATTGATGAGATTTTTCTCAGCTTGATCAATAGAATAAGAGTTAGAAAGGCCAAGTTTGAGATTCAACTCAGGGTTTGTTCTCCCTTCACCATCACCAATCCAACTCAGGGTTTGTTCTCCCATGTTTTCACCAGTTCTTTTGTCTAACTGCAAAACAAGAACAAAGCAAGAAACAAAACACAATTAGCTAAGATTTTCACATTCACATGTACAAAGAAAGTGAATGTTTTCTTACATCAAAGAATAAGGATTTTTTTTTCTTTTCTTTTGTCTTGGGAGTGATTTCTTTATAAACAAAGGTCTGGTCTGGCTACAGAACTGATACCCCAATTTGTTAATACAAAGCACACATTAATTAATTTAATTTTTCTTTAAAAATATTCCTACACTAGATGTAATTGAAGATCACCAGCTCGATAATTAAATTATCCATGTAATATATTTTTGGAAAAAGACATCAATTTTGGTAGCTAGAATGGAATTGCTAACATGTTAATTTTCCAGAAACATTACATCATGAATAGTTGCCATGATTTGCTTCTTTGCTTATCCTACATACCTCAAACACTGAAATTAATAATATATATATATATATAACCTATCTTATGTATGAATTATTAATTAATACTCCAGAAGGAGTTCAAAATTTTGCATATAAATCCTCATTTTTTAAACCAAATCCAGAAGAGTCTGCATTGTGTTAAACCAAATTATTTACTAAATTAGTACATTAATATATTATATATGATTTTCTTTTCTCAGGTAAGTAAGTTATTATATATTATTTACTAGTGAATACTTATTACCTTCCCTATACTATTGTTTTTAATAATTTGGCATTTTAAACATTCTCCTAACCTTTAATTTATTCAGTTATTAATATCCTATTTTAGTCCATTAAATTATAGGTATTAAACAAAAAAATATTAAGCAGAAGAAAATTTTCCATATATGTAATTGCATATCATGCTTGATAATTGACTATTTTAGTAAAATAATAATTTCTTATCATTGAAAACTTTTCTTAGAAAGCTAATAAATATTGTCTCTTTTCAAAATAATTTGAATAAATTAACCACGTAGTAAAACTTTTTACTTCATTTTTAAAACCATAAAATTTATTTAATCATCAATTTATCAACCTAATAATTTTCGTGTATCAGTACTGATATATAAATAAAAAAGAGTAAGTAATATAATTTTCATCCATGCAAATTTTAGTTTTAGTCCATTTAAAGTTCAGACTTTTGGTTGTGTTGGGTTATGGTTTTAAAGAAACAAAAAGTTATCATTCATAAAATTAATCTAAATTGATTAATTATATTCAATAACTTCAATTATATTTAAATTTGATTTGAATATAAATTGTCTTCAGAAAATGAATATATACATAAAATACATTATCAACTATATATATAAAAGTCGTTTTAGCGTCCATAAAATCTATGTAATCGACTTCCTAATCATCAATTGATGTTGAAAAGTAAAGTATCATCATGCTCTAATATATAGTATATAAATAATTCTTTCAAAAATTTTACTTAAGTATATTATTACATCTCATTATTATATATGTATATAATATTTTAATGGTTTATAATTCAGTTATCAAAATAAATTATAAATGTTACATTTATAATCTGTTCAAAATTTAATAATCATTTATGAGGATCACTATAAATAGAAGCCTCTACAAATTTCTTCAAGTATATACGAACCAAATACTTTGGTTTTTAACATCATAAAAGTTTACTAAGTATTGTTACATTATATTATGTGTTTTTTATTTTTACTGTCGTACAAAAAATTAATGATCAATTTTCTGTTACACTTACGCTCTATTATTATGAGTATATGATTTAGAACATATTTATTGAATTTATTTTGCTCACCTTTTTATCGGACATTTTTTCATGTCTCGTGTGAATATCTTATGAATTTTTATATTCATTTATTTTGTAGTAATTTGTTTTCAATATTTTTTATTCATTTATGAAACACAAATATCACAAAAAATTTCTTATTAGCAACGAATAAACTGGTTAGTTTGAAAATTTTATTGGTAATTAGATATTTTTTAGTGCATCACTGATATATTTTATCGATAATTTCATTAGGTAAACGTTTTTGACATTGTCAGAAATTACTAACGAATATCCATTCGTAATTAAGAAAGAATATTAGAAAATTACATCGAATATATTTTGTAGAAAGTTATTAACTGATATCTGTTGATAGATATTAACAATATTTATCCTCATATCAAGCTCGAAATTACTAATGAATATTCTCACCATATTTTTTTTTTTTTCAAAAAAGCTATTCTTCCTGTATTAGACTTAGGGTTGCCACCATTTTCTATATATAAAAAATAACAATCCTTTTAAATAAATTAGATCAAGTTTTTTTTTAATAATTTGAACAACATAAACATAAAAAATATATTAAATTAAAAACATATGAAATGTGAACACTGTATATAAATTACATATAAAGTTAAATAATAAGTATTATAAACTTAAGTGTTTTTATTATATATAATAATAATTTGAATAATGAAGAAAATATTATTATTGTAGATTGAGCTCTTGTTTATGGAGATTATAGGATTGCATTTACAATTACGAGATGAAACTCGGGATTCAATAATTTAGAATGAATTTTCTCTTCACTTTAAAAAGTCATTTAATAACTTGGTTGATTTCTTATAAGTTATATGAAAAAATTAGGTGTTTTATTTATGATTCTTCTATCCGCCAAACATAGTTAGAGTACTAAATTTTGTTTTCGCTAACACATGATCTAATATCAGAGTTAACTTGTGAGACTCTAATCTCAACATCTTTCATATATTGAAATATCTCATTAACATATCCAAATTATTTAAGCTTCTCTACTTCTATGTTTCAATATAAATTTGTTTATACGTAAATTTAAGAGTTGCACAAAAGAAATATATATATATATATATATATATATATATATATATATATATATATATATATATATATATATATATATTTCATGTCATAATGATGTGTTGATGTGAGTTGATAAGTCATATATGTCTCGAGACACTTCTTTTAAATGTCTTGTATTTTTTTTTTCATCGATGCACATTTAAAATAATAATATAAATTCTATCATGTACTATAACAATCTATTTCACACATGATCTTCAACTCATTCTGACTTTTCACTTATAGTTTGAATTTTCCTTGATATCTTAGAAAATTTATCAAATACTTAGAATGAATTATTTTCAATTTAACCTTAATATTTTAATTTTTATCCAACGTTCATTTATATTAATAAAAATTTAATATACAATATAGATATAAAGAAATTTAGGATTTTATTATACCTAACAATTTTATACTTAATAAATTATTACAACTTTTTACTATTAAATATATTATAATAATATCAATATATCTTTGCTAAACTCATAACACCGGACAGCAATATATGTTTGCGAAATGTATTTAATGTTTATGATTTTAAGCTTAATTTATAAGTTTTTTGTCAAATTTGTCTTACTAAGGAATTTTTTTCTAACAATAAATTTCATAAATTGATTGGTTCTTTTTTATTGTAAGTTATATAAATTAGATAATAAAAAAATATAATTATAAATAATAATTATTTATAAATATTTTAATTATTATTTATAGACTCTTTATTCATTATTATTAGCTCTATAAATAATAATTAAAATATTTACAAATAATTATTAATCATAATTATAAATATTCTATTGTGTGATTTGTATAGTTTGCAATTGAGGAAAATAATTCAATTAGTGATTTATCAGATTTATTATTGGAAAATAAATTAATTAATATAGAAGATAAAATAATTCTTTATTCATAAGATATATTCTCTATTTTCGTAATTCTATTTTTATCTTTTGTACTTTAGTGTCCAAACTATTGATATCAATAATAGGTTTCGAAGGGAAGTAAAAACAAGATGGCATAGTCATTTACTTCTATTCTTATCTATCAATCTTGTGATCCTTAAACAAAGAACTATGACAACTTGAAAAAAAAGAAAAGAAAAAGAGTGGTTATGAGATTTTAAGAGGTGTGGAATCTTCTTGAAAATTGTCGCATATATGTTAATGTTAAAGTAGGTGGAATATAGAAGCTCAACGAGCCACAAATAAAGAAAATTGAAAAGAACTTTCGGGAAGATTTCAAGGCAGAGATATCAAAGGAGGGTTGAAAAGTTCTTGAAAGGGTTTATGGTAGTACAACCAAGACTTTCAAATATTATAACGAGAATACAAGTTTTTGTCAATAGAGACTAAAGAGATGACGACTAACTAATTATCCATGAAAAAGAATCTTGGACAAAAGTTGGTTGAATTGAAGGTGATTGAAAAACGTTGCGTATAGTACTCACAAATTTTGATAATGTAGCTGTAGCAATAGAAGAATAAAATAATATTAAAGAATTGAATCTTGAAGAGTTTTAGGGTTCTTTGGAGTTACATGAACAAATGTTAATTGAATACAGAGAAGAAAGATAGAACCAGCCAGCTCTTTAGATACATACCAATTCAAATACATACTAATTCAAATGAAGCTTTCAAGAAGAAAGGAAAGAACAAAGAAAAATTGAAGTAAAAAGTGAACATAAAAGATACAAAGGAGATTCAAGAGAACAAAAAGATACTGATTTTCAACAATAAAAAAGAAACAATTTTGATATTAAAAATAAAAAGTGTTATAATAAAATGGCTCATATTTATTAAGTATGTGGAATTGAAGGTTATTGGGTCTAACCCATTTACTTATTTTTTTATTATAAATAATCATGTAATTATAGACCTAATTAAGTGAATGAGAATTATCATTTAGTGCGATCGTGGACGTAGATCATTTTGACTGAACCACGTAAATTTTGTGTGTTTTTTTTTATTTACTTTCGTCTTGTATTGCATATATGTTCTCAACAATTGATGAGCTTAGATTTTTTTTTTCATGTGAGTGAGAGCAATGACAGAAGACGGAAAAGTGAAGATTGACAAGTTCGATGAAAATAATTTCGAATTTTGAAGATGCAAATTGAAGATTATTTTTATCAGAAAAAGTTGTACTGACCTTTGTTTGAGAATAAACCAGAAACGATGTCTCGGACAGATTGAGAGTTACTAGATCGACAGACTTTGGACATTGTAAGATTAACATTGGCTGAGAAGACGACATATGATTTGATAAAGACATTATCAAACATGTACGAGAAACCATCAACATCAAACGAGGTATTTTTGATTTGTCAATTAGTTAATACGAAAATACGAGAATGTGCTAGTATTACATATCATATGAATGAATTTAATTCTTTATTGTCAAGGTTAGTATTGGTGGACATTAAATTTGATGATGAAATACAAACCCTGTTATTACTATCTTCATTGCCTGATAGTTGTTCGAGAATTGTCACGACAATAACCAGTACATCTAAGACTATGAAATTAAACTTTGAAGGAATTAGAGATTTAATTCTTTATGAGAATGTTCGTA